ACACACCATTCCAGAAACTCTGAAAACAAGGGGGAGAAAGCTAAGGTAATTTCTGAAACATCTTATTGAAAACGAGAAAGATCAAGTGAGGAAATTTAGACAAATACACCATCTTCATTAGTGGGACATACATTTGCTTATTTAAAGTCAGCCTTAACAATCCTGATGGTCTGGTTTCCCAGGCCCCAGAAGGCCAGGAAAGCAAGATCATGAGCTCATTCCCCATGTGCTAGGAGAGCAGCCAAGTGGCCACTCCTCAGCCGCCATGTGTCAGGCACAGGGCTAGGTCCTCTGAAGACGTTGATCCTGGTTCTGGAACCACTGCACAGGAGACGGCTGGGCCCAGCCAGGAGAGCACCCAGGTGAGAGTGCTGTGTCATCAGCAGTCAGCTGACGTGCTCAGGCCCAGTCAGGTGCCGCTGAGCAGCAGGTGAACCGCACCTATGGCACCAGCAGCAGTCAGGAAGAGGAAGAGGCCACACGCCTTGAAAGAAAATTTCTTTTGTCTAATTCACTTACTTTCTACAATTCTGCCCACAATACTCTGCAATCCTAAGCATGCTTAACTTCTGGAGAGAACTTTCAACTTCACTAACTTTCTTTAATATTTAAATTGGAGTCCCCTTAGGAGCCAGCATTTGTGCTTTTGTCCCAGTGGCTTAAAGACACAGACCTTTTGCCCCGCGTTGGGCGCCAATTGCCGGGTTTCTGCTCTCACGACTAAAAGGCTCAGGGGTCACTCTAGTTAAACTGGGCTAACTGGGCTGCACAAAATAACCACACAAGAGACACAAATACCTTTTTCTTTGGGGTTGCTGTGACGGCTCCTCTGACCTTAAGGGTCCGCAGAAAGAGAGAGTGAGTGAGAGCACGCACTGACCCCTTTTATTGAGGAGAAGCTATTCAAATGAGGCAAGGGGTCAGGTTTCAGGGGGCTGAGTCTATCTTCATGATGTCCACTGTCAGCAGGTTGACTGACACCTGGGTAGGCCACACCCAAGAGCACAGGAAGAGGAGGGGACACACACAAGGCACTTCCATGGAAGACTGTATCCTAAACAGGGCAAGGGGTTATATTACAAAGCAACAGGTGAGCATAGCTTCACCCATGGGGCTTTAGCAAGACACACCCATTTCTGTGACTGAGCGCCTCAGCACTCAGCACTTTGAAAAATGCCTCACCGTGTTGTTTACTTCTGTATTAAGTTCTGAGGCTCATGTGTGACACATTCAAGTAACAGGCAAATCCACTGATCGAGAAACGGCTCGTTCCCTTCTAAGGCCAAAGAGTCCAAGTATTTGCATCTAGAAACAGCACAGAACCGTGCAGACTCTCGGGCAGCCTATGGAAACACAGGAGCTGCAGGTGCAATTGCCAGACCTACCGCAGTCCTGTGCCTTGCAAGCGGGCCTCTTTCTCTGTCTCCCCGCACTTTGTGTGAGGCAGAGGACACCTAAAGGAGCTTCCCACAACCCAACAGCATGACAGGAATCGCACAAGAAACATCAATCCAGAGCACAGCATATGCTTATGCCACTGTTTCCTCTGGAAAATTCAGTATCTGAAATAATGGTCCTTATCTTAATGCTGTAGTTCAGGTCAGTGCCATCAAGTGAAACTGGCTATGTCACTCTGAAAATAGTAAAGAGAGTGTCACTGCTACCGATGTTCAATACCCACGAAGCCATTAATACTTGCCAATTGCAGGAATGCTGGACTATGACATTTGTGAGAGAAGTAATAAGCAATAAAGAGAATCCTATCCCATTAAGAAATATATATATATATAAGCTGTTTATATAATATAAAAAAAAAAGAGAATCCTATCCCAACCACAGCATTTACAAATTTTTAATTATACTGAAATGGAGTCATCATTTTTTTGTTTAAAAAGTAAGTGAGGAGAATGAAGAGCTAAGGGATGTGTGTGTGTGATTCTGTGTGTGCTGTAGGTATATCTGACTGTACACACACATACACACACACACACATTCTCAGGACATGTGAGGAAAAGCTAATAAATTTTCCTTAATTTGGGCTTCATTACAACAAAATCTATAATTATTTAAGCAAGGAAGCAGTTACATTTTTCACACTCTACAGACCTGCTTCCAAGTGGTATGTCATTAGCATGACAGCATTACATGACAGATGATCCTTATCTTGGAACTGGGCAGATTATGAGTACTCATCTCTGTGGCAGAACCTGTGAACAGAGACATGCTTCTGTGTGCAGGAATGTCCAGGAGCTTTCCACGTTCTGAAAGAGTGCCTCGCCCAGATGACAGCCCCAGGCAGAGGATGCCAGTGCTCCTGCTCATGAGCTCCGGCTTGTCACCAGTACTGTCCTCAGCTCCTAGGCAAGGCCACAGCAGTGAGACAAAAGGACACACACCACATGCACACCAGAAGATCTCTGGAAGTGGCTCTGTGCATTTCGTGGTGAAGTGCCACTCACATGGCACATGGAGAGCCAGAGAGGAAAGGCTGTTGTCACTACTGAGATGTAAAGCCAACTTACTGCACACAAGAAAACAGCATGGGAACCCAGGGAAGGGAGCATGTAACTCCACGTGCTGAAGCATCCAAGCAGATATTTAAGAAACCTCTAAAGAAGAGAAGCTCAAAGGGCTTCAGATAAAATGATGCTAACATGGAAAGGGATGCCACTAACATCCTCCACCGGGTCCCACAACTTCCCCGCTCTTCCCAGCACATGCCACCAGCTCCAGCTCCCCGCTGCAGACATTTTCTCATCCCCTTGGAGGGCAGGTCATGCATTAATGCTGACAGCCTCCGGGGACTGCAGAGAACAAGCAACGGGAAATATTCCGTTTGTGTATTTTGGAAGCAGATGGTTTGTTTTCATTAATTTAATTCCACATGTAAATGTACTGCAGCTTGGGACAATAATAAAAAAAAAGAATGATAGCTTTAATTTTTCATTGTAACTCCACTGCTCTGAAAACGGCTACACCCTGCTATATTACATGTCTGCCTTCCTCCCTCAGGATGAAGATTGAGGACACCGGAGCAGAGGACTGGGGAGCCCTGGCTCTCGCTCTGGTTCCCTATGAACCTCAGATAGGTCCTTGACCCCTTCTGCTTTTACTCTCCCTGTCCATCAAGTGAAGGCAGTAACACCCTCCCCATCCGTGCCAGAATCAACCAGATGTCAGCACAGAAAAGCAAGACAACCAAAAACAGATCAGGCATGTGCAAGGCATGATGGGAAAATCCAACTTGTGGGCAGAGAGGTGAATGCATGCACAGTGTCCACGTGGACCACTGCACACAGCACCTCCCTTGGAACTCTGTCTGGTTGCCATGAGTGTTCCCAACCTCCTGCCTTGTTAAGCTTTTCACTAAGGATGACCAGGAACATGAAACAGAGTGCCTCCCAGGCTGAACAGGGACTACCCGGGAAGGAACACGAGGGACTGTCTCCTGAGATGAAGATCTTCTGCAGGTTTGGGCTAGACAGGTGCATGTGTTAGTTGGGATTCATCAAACGGCACACTAGAGACGTGTGCACTTCACTGCACACACACTTTACAACCATAACTGAATTCCAGTGAGAGGCACGCTGCAGCATTGGAGAATAAAATGTCCTGACACCTGCAAGTCCTTAAACAATATTTTAAGAAATAAGACAGGTTAACGGATGACAAGCAGGCTGGATGGACCTGTGAGGAACAAAACGTTCACTGCAGAGCCTAGACGGCAGGGCCAGGGTCACTACGAATCCCTCAACTCTTCTGTGTTAATCAGAGTGGGAAGGAGGGAAGGCGGACCCAAGAAAAAGCTCTGGAAGAGTTCAGAGGCCCACGGAGCACCCATGCCAAGGTGCCCTGGGAGGCGGGTGCTGAGACAGCCCCAGCAGAGGCAGAGCCTGGAGGTGCAGAAGCAGCTGAGGGCAGCCAGAGTGCAAGGAGGACAGCCAGAATGCAAAGACAGCAGCACACGGGGGCGGGGGGGGCGTCTTATCAAAATGTCACGATGGCTCCCACATTTACTGTCACTCCGGACCAACACACAAGACGGTCATTCTATAAGCCTCATTCTGGAAATATGAAAATGGCTTTCCATCCACAACCCCTCAGTAGTGGACACCCACCCTGTCACACGTGCTAGTCAGTGCCTCTGCGAGACTCAGCCTGCTAGACAGAGGGACCCGACACAAGCAGTCACCATGTAGCGTGGAGACAGGACTACTGCGGTGGTAATTTAGGGTACTCCGAGCAAGAAAGAAGGACCCAATAACACAGTCTAGGAAAGCTTTCGGGAGAGCAGGTGACACCAAAGGACAAATTAATCAACACTGAGGAAGCAAAAGGGGTAGTGGCAGGAGTTCGCAAGCTGAATTCGAGGCAGAGGAAATGGTGTATCCTAAGGTGGAGAAGAGAGAGCAGATGTTAAGTGGAAATCGGCTCCTGAGGACTGACACCAATGGGATCCAGGGGAGGGGGTGAGGATGAAGCTGAAGCACTGTGGGGAGGCCTGGTCACACAGGGCTCTGGGCACCAGGGACAACAGGGAGCCCGTCAAGGACTTCCCAGGGGAGAGACAGGTAGAGTCACGCTTCAGAAAGAGAGACAGCTCACGAGGAATAATGATCACACAATCTACAATTTAGGTTTATTTGAGAGAAGGAAAAAAATATTTCCCAGTTGCTAAACTGTAAAAGCAAGACAGATGTGAAAGAATTTTACCATATAGGCTGTAATTTTCTGTCATTCAATGTTAGCTTGCTTGGGCAAACATCAACCAAACCCTAAAACCAATTAACTTAAATTCCAAGTAGCACATGAAGGTATCCTGCACTAAAGAGAGAATTTCTGTCTACTGCATATATTTGGTCCTCAAAATGGAAGAGGAGGTGAAATTAAATAATATCATTAAATTTCCCAGTCTAAGATCCACTTTAAGCCAATAGTGTTGGTCATTCAAAGTGTATCTTCTGCCAGGAGGCAACACAGCCCTTCCTCCCAGTACCTACCCTTGGTGGTGAGAATTTTCGAGGTGACTTCCAGTTTCTCCAGTGGCTCCGTTCCAATATTTTCCAGTGTAATGATGAGTGGCTGAGTTTCTCCATTGTACAGCTGGACGGACACGTTAGTCGATATCTCATCACCAGATGAGGGCTGCAGCGAATGTGCGGATCTAAATAAGAGTAATAACCACCGTGAGCGCAAGGGGGAAAGGAGAGGGCAGAGCGGACAGCATTCCTGTTCACTCACATCAGGTCAGCAGCCTGCCTCACTTATGGGCCTCAGAGCCAGGGCCAGCTGCCGCCTCCAGGGTTTCCCACACGCAGACCCGCCTGGGCTTTGCGTGTTGTGAACTGGTCACCCTCACTCAGGCTTCATGGCTTGTGTGTGTGTGTGTGTGTGTGTGTGTGTGTGTGTGTGTGTGAAGGGCAAGACTACTTAATTACTGCATTGTGGAGGACACAAATTAAGCAACGAATTAATGCAAGTGAACCACGAGGTGTTGCTCATGCTGAGAAGGGGGACATCATGGACTTAAAGAGAAACTTCTAAGAACAATTCCTACTGGAACTGGAGCCAGGGAGATAAAGGAGTGCACAGGGCCAACCTGGTCTCCCAAGTGCAAGCCAGGAGCCACGCCCACAAAGACCCAGGCAACAGAGGGAAGCAACGGTGGGGCTCTGTCCTCCTGCCACTCAAGTGAGGCCCTGCACCACAGGACAAGCCCCGATGGCCAGCCCTACATACAAGCACAGCCCAGCATCTGGGGCCTCCTCGCTAAGGCTCCTGCACCAACACCCTGTCCAAGGCCTGTAGTCTGTGAGCTCTGCCCAAGTTCTACACTACTCACTATCCCAGTCTCTCTCTCCCAGGCCACAGGAGCAAACAGACTTCTGCCTAGGAGGTAACCAGGACCCCAAGAAACACAGCTGGAACCAAGGTCTGCTGGCAACAATGACATATAGGCGACCCCACCTATGTTTCCTCTGCATCTAACTCTGCTCCACTGTGGTCTGCATCTGTGACTGCTGGTCCCTCTTCCTGCACGTTTTCCTTGCTGCAGGACCTGACTGACTTCCACAAGCCCTGGGAGCCTGTACACCATCGTGCCTTAAAGCGCTCCTGAGCCCCCGGGAGGAGAACTCTCTCACTGGTGTCCACTGCAGGAGCAGCTGGAACTCTTGGCTGCAGTCAATCTGACCCTCCCTCTAGACTGAGCTCACACAGGGGACAGGCACAGGTCAAGGGAGTTCTTCCTAAACATCAGTCCCATCCCACCAGGCCAAACGCATACCAGAGGTGTCAATAAACATGAGCAGATTTGCTGCATCCGTCTCAGGTATGTTGATTTTAGAATATTATCAACACTCACCTAAAGTGGAAAAATCACCTTAGAAAAATACACACATTCTTAAAAATAAAAAACAGTACTTTAACTCCAAATTGGAGTTAAACTCCCCCTGCCAACATCTAGTCTCTCTCCCCAGGTGAGGACGCACACTCTGGAGTGCACTCCCAGAGCCCCAGGTGCCCCCTGGGCAGGCCAGGCGAGGCAACCAATACCTGAGAGTGTGTGTGCCCATCCATGGGACCATGAAAATGGAGCAGGTGGGCACAAAGTATCTTTGAAAACTATTCTAAGAGCAAGAGAAAAATGAGGGAGACAAAGCCACAGCTAGCACACCCATTTTCGTCACCTCTCATGCAGCTGGAGGGATGGTCTTTGAGCAGGGAGCTCACAGTTCCTTTTCCTGGAATCCTCTCCCTTCCTGGTAACAGCCTTTGCCTGGGTGCCTTTTCACCTTCCACTGCCCACCCTTCAGCTGGGTTCCAGGTGGGGGCTAGCAAGTGTGAGCAGCCTCCACAGTCGCCTAGAATCTCTGCACAACCCAGGAGCCACCTGCTAAGGCCCGACCAGGTACCTGATCAGGTACCTGCCAGCTGCCACAGTAGCAGGAAAAGTAGTGGGTCAGGGCGAGCAAGGCCTGATGGGAGTCTGCAGGCTCCGCTGCTGGAGTAGCAGGGCTTAAGGCAGTTCTGCCCAGGACAACAAGGACAAGGCTATCCTCCTGAGGCTGCCAAGGCCTCTACTGAGACCAGGTGTCTGCCCTACACTGAAGACAAAGCAAAATGATCTATCTGAGCATAACTTATGGCCATCACGTTCACCCTTTTAGGTCTACAATCATATTTAATAAGCCTACAAAGTTGTTCAACCATCCCTGATACCCAGTTTGAAAACACTTCCAGCACCTCAGAGGACATGCCCTGGTGCATGCAGTCAAGCCCTGCTCCCATGGCTGCCTAAGGCAACCACCCAGCTGATTCCTCTTTGTGTCTGCTTCTTTTGCATGGCACGTTTCTGAGGTGCGTGTATGCCGAAGCATTATCAAGAGCTGGCTTGTTGTTATTGCTGAGTGATAGTCCATGGTACAGATTGACAAGTTTTGTTTATCAAATGATTGTCATTTGGGTATCTTCTGCTCTTTTCACTATTATGAGCAATGCTCCTACGAATGTTCATGCTCAATTTTTTGTGTCAATGTGTTGAGACTGACTTGCAATTATTGGGTCACAGGTAGCCTTATGCTAACTTTTTAGGAAAGTGTCTTTGAAAGGGATATGCCACTTTCTGCTCCCCTCAGCACTAAGTGTAGGTCCAGCTCCTCCCCGCCTCACCACCACGGCTGGTGACTGTGTCCAGTCACCCTGCAACTGGAATCTCAGATGACGCCAGCTCCAGAGACTAATGATCTGAGCCCTCTTCCAGGTTGCTTCTGAGCTGCGTGGACCTCTTCTGGTTGAAACAGCTATTTGAATCCTTTGCCAATTTTTTAATTAAGTTGTTTGTCTTCTTATTACTGAATTTTAAAAGCTCTTTATGTGAATACAAGCTCTTTATCAGATATATGATGTGCAAATACTTTCCCCCAGCCTGTGAGTTTTCATTTTCCTGATGGTGTCTTTGGAAGTACAAAGGTCTTTAATACTGATGAAGCCCAATTCATCAACATTTTATTTTATGGACCCTACTTCTGGCATCACATCAAAGAATCTTTGCCCAACCCAAGATCATAAACATTCTTTCTCCTGTTTTCTTCTAAAAGTTTTGGACTTTTCAACTCTTACTATCAGGTCTGTGCTTCATCTGAGTTAGTTTCTTCTGCTTCATGTTTCTCCTCAGTCACATGGTGCTTCCTCCACCAGAAGCTGCTCCACCTGCCCACTCACACAGCTCACGCCTCTTCCAGCCCCACCTGGTCACTGCAGAGGCCTCCTGGAAGAGCCCTTCCCAGTGCAGGGGCTCCATCAGCACTCCAGTCACAGCATGGATGCTTGTCAGTCTCTGCCTCTGACAGGGCTCCTGTGGGCAAGGGACAGGACTACATGCTCACTGTCATAGCCCTAGCACCTAGCACCTAGCACAGCGCCTGGCAGATGAAAAGGGCCTGTTGAACATATGAGGTGGTTTTTAAAACACTTCATAAAATCCCAGGACACCTTTTATTAAAATGGCCAAAAGGATACTCATTATTCATAATGGCAAAAGTTTAAAATATCACAAATCCCAATAGCAAGGATTCCAAAGGCTAACTCCACATTTAGTTCTTGTAAGAAACATTTCAACTTTGTTCTGATTCATGTTCAGCAAATCATATTAACTATTGGCATCAATTCATTATAGCTAAACTATGGAACCAATCTAGATGCCCTTCAAAAGATGAATGGATTAAAAAACTATGGTATATATATTCACAGTGGAATATTACTCAGCATTAAAAGAGAGTAAAATTACGGCATTTGCAGGTAAATGGATGGAGTTGGAAAATATCATGCTAAGCAAAGTAATCCAATCCCAAAAAAACAGGGGTCAATGTTTTCTCTGATAAGTGGATGCTAATACATAATGGGGGTGGGGGGGCATGGGATGAGTGGAGGACCTTTGGATGGGTCAAAGGGGTGGGGCACGAGGGCAGGAAAGATGGTGGAATGACATGGACATCATTACCCTAGATACATGTATGACTGCATGAATGGTGTGACTCTACTTCATGTACAACCAAGAAGCAAAAAAATGTGCTTCATTTGTGAATCAAAGAGCTTTCTCTGTCATGTATAACTGATTAGAACTAATTTTTAAAACCACAATAAAATTAAAAAGAACAAAAAATCTCAGCCACATTCTGATCAAAGAATTTCAAATTAACTCAGATTCTTTAGATATTCTGAAACATGTATAACTAAAAAATATCCATAAGAGGGCTGAGGTTGTGGCTCAGTGGTGGAACGCTCACCTAGCAAGGGCGAGGCACTGGGTTCAATCCTCAGCACCACATAAAAATAAATAAATAAAAATAAAGGCATTAAGTCCACTTACAACTAAAAAAAATATTTTGAAAAAATATCCATAAGACCATGTCTTGTCAACAATTAGTAGCCACTCCTTGGAAACACTACCTGGGTAGAGACGTGCTGATCTGTAGTCTTGGCAAGGCGGGAATGACTTCAACGGTAGAGCCACTGGTTTTGATTCCCGGGAGGTTATCTAGCAGACAGTCACTGAAGACACCAAAGACAGTGGTACGGTAGCCTGGAATGCAAGGCAGAACTCACACCTCCTGGCAAGGCCCACGTCCCACCCAGAGCAGTAGTGAGAAGAGCACAGGCATCCTAGGCCTGAGGCCTGGCCTGCCACCCACCAGCTCCCCACACTGCCCCTCCAACCAGAACCCACAGTATCTTCATGCTGACGCAGCTGGTAGTGGCACTATGTCCTATTTCACATGCTGACCAGGTCCAAATAAAGGGCAGATGTAAAGGTCCCTGCAAACTACAAATCTGCAGCACCTAATAATCAGTATCTCATCCCTTTACTAATTTGCTTTTCAGATTTCTCCATCTCCAAAATGAAAATGGTAGTTAATATTCCTTTGCAGGACATAATGTATCTGAAAGAGTACCTGAAAAAATGCTTCAAAACCTTCTGTTGAGGATGAAAGTTCAAGAGCCAATTATTGTTATTATAGCTGCTATGTGATACGGCCAATCTGCCATATGTGTACAAGTACTATCATTTAAGATTATCAAATTTCCCAAGCCAAAAAAAATATGTTGGTTAGATAAGCACACAAAATTGTTTAAGCAAAGCTTTAAAATGGCCCTTGAAATTTCAAGAGATAGCTATCATAAACAATATTCACTGTGCAATGAGATTAAATAGCACCTAATGCCCAAGGCCCAGGGCACCACCTTCTCTGCTCATCCATGTTGGGATACACAGATCTCCAAAGGGAGAAACCAACAAACCAGGCCATCCCTGTTGATATCTGCCCTCCCCCAGCAGCCCCCCCCCACCCCCCCCCCCCCCCCCCCCCGGCCCCCGCAGCTTCAGGCTCTCTCCCAGCTCACAGGACTCCCAGCCATGCTCCCTGTGCTCGCTGCTCTCTAGAGTAAGTCCTGGAAGGCTTCCCTCACTGGCAAACGTTTTCCTCCCCAAAACCCCCCTTGCCACTAATGCCCCCACACTCTTCTCTCTCTAGATCTTATCATGGTGTGGTTTTGTCTGCTAAGCAACCATTATTTTACAATTCCCGATGAAAATAATTTTCCTTCTCTTACCTATTGTTTAAAACAACTACCTTATAAAACCCCAAGTCTGATGACAACTATTTAGCATGAGCACGAGGATGTCCGATAACACAGCCAGCCCTTCTGGCACATCTGAGGGGCAGGAGAAATGCACACAAGTTGGCACCAAGGATGGACACTGAGGGATCAGCTGGAGGCCCCCAGGCTCACTGTCACAGACACCCAGGGGTCAGCAAGGGGGCCCCCAAGGTCACCATTACACATCAGCCCCAGCTCTCCTCCTCCACAGAGGTCTCCAGGCCTAATTATCCCCCCGCCCCGGCCCCCACACTCCTGCCACCGCACCCTGCCCCTGTTCAAGGCAGCAGTCAGTATCCTTAGGGTGATTCCCAAGGTCCCCTAGGACTGCCCTCTACCTGCCTTCCAGCCCCATCATCACCACCCCTTCGCTGGACCACCTCCTCCGGCCACCCTGGTTCCCTGAGCACACCACTGGTCTCTCCCACCACCAATCTCCGACCAGGTGCTGCTCTGCTCAAGAGCCCTTTCTACACTCTGCTTCCCATCCCTGCTTCCCCACTCCCACTCCATTCATTTGGACAACTCCCAGGGGCCTTCAAAACTCAGGTCACTTGCTATGACAGGCCTTTGTTGACCTTCCTCCTCCCCGAGTCCCACCTCCACACGCTGGCCTCCATCTTGGTACTTCCACAACACACACAACCTGGGGTTACGCCTGCCCTCACCTCACTGGCCCCAAAGTCTGCACCTTTCTCCGGGAGGAAATGACAAAGACCTCTGGTGTGAGGGGCTCTGCACCAGACACTGAGGTGCTCCAGAGTGAGACAGGCCTGGCCATCCAAGAAAGGCCAGCAGGGAGCACATCCACAAGTGACAAGGAGGAGAAAGGTGTGCGGAGCCCAGGGGAGCCAGAGGAGGCTTGGGCCACCTGAGAAGGGAAGCCTCACTGAGAGCTGCAGGCAGCCAGCAAGCCCTGGGTGGAGAGGATCCAGGAGAGCTTAGGAAACAGTGCCCCGCCCAGGAGGCGCCATGAGACTCAAGTGCCACTCCACAGGACGGAAGGGAAAAGAGGAGTCCACAGAGGGGCGGGCCACATGGGGAATAAAGCACAGGAAGGCACGACACACACTGCAAAAGGCCCAGCTGCAGCCTGCAAGACAGACTTGGTAGCAAGCAGGCCCGTGGCCAGAAAGACCACCCTGCAAGGGAACTGTGGTCTGCAAGACAGGAAGTGGCCAGTCTCACCTATTGGGGAGACAGTGAGGTGTCCTAGGGAGTTACAGAAGTGCAGCAACTGGGGACGACTCCCAAGAAGCTGGCGAGGGCAACTGACTCATGGTGGCATCATCACTCGGCTGGGGCCACAGGGGGAGGTGCCACTTTGGGAGGAGAGGCAGTGGTTCTGGTTTCACGTGCGGTGTGTAAAGAGACCCAGAAGCAAGAGCCAGAGAGGCAGCAGAAGACCTAAGGGAGGCTGGGACGCAGCTCAGCGGTGGAGCACTTGCCTGGCATGCACCATTACAGTAACCAAACCCAGAGGGTGTGGGTCACGAAGGCCGCCGAGGACAGCTGTCCATGCGGGAAGGATGGGCTCTGAGAGTCAGGTTAGGGGAAAAAAAATGAAAAGCAGGCCCTGGATTCGTCCGGGAAATACTAAAAATCACTAGTGACCTGGGGTTAGGCATTCTGGAACGGTGAGGTGATCGGGGCTGGATCTGGGATGCAGAATGTGAGGAATATCTGATAACACAGTCAGCCCTTCTGGCCACATCTGAGGGGCAGGAGAAGTGCACACAAGCTGGCACCAAGGATGGACCCTGAGGGATCAGCTGGAGGCTGAGAGGTGGAGAGTGGCCCCAGCATGTGCACACACCTCCAGGAGCAAACAAAGCACCACAGCAAGGACAAGTCATGGCAGCCGAAGGGCAGGGAGAAGCTGGGCACGTGTCTGGAGACTTCCAGAGGACCACACAAAGGAAGATGGTGCGGTGGGGAGGGAACGTGACGACCTGCCACAACAGGACACAGCACTGCCGCCACATCACACACTCAAACCCAGTTTTCCCAGGTCTCATCGCAAAGAAATGACATCGCAGCCTCGTCCTCATCTTTTCATGGTCGGGACTAGAGGACAGGTGATTAGCTCTAGACCTCAACAAAGCGATATAAACGTTCAGCAGCATTTTGCAAGCAGAACCAGAAAGGGATTCTCCTTACCGTTCACAGTGATCGTTCCGGTTGTCTGCGGCACCCCAACAAGTGTCACCGGGTACAGACCAGATTCTGCAGGAAGGGAAAGCGCAGCAGGGAGAGACTCGAACTCCACGCCACTGGTGAGGAGCCCCTGAAGCAAGTGAAGGGGCATCATGAGCAGGCTCAACCCAAACCCATCATGGACGATCAGTTCTATCCGATCCTTGAGGCATGCGCTGCAGGCACACCTAGGACTGTCAGGAAGACAAGACTGATGGTCTCAAAAGACCCAGAGAGCTTTAGAGACAGTGTGTACAAACAGAAGTGTAAAACTGAGTGTGTATGCACACAGAGGTGCATGTTCAGATACAGATGTAAACATAGTGTGTGCAGAGGTGTGTGTGCACAAATGTGTGTGGATACACATGTGAGTGTAGTGTGTGCAGAGGTGAGTGTAGTGTGTGCAAACCTAAGTGTGTGTGTGCAGAGGTGTGTGGACACATGTAAGTACAGTGTGTCCAGAGGAGAATGTGCAAACAAGTGAGAGTGTGCAGAGGTGTGGATACATGTGTAAGTGTGTGTGCCCAGAGGTGCATGTGCAAACAAGTATGTGAGTGCAGAGGTGAGTGTGCAGATACAGATATTAGTGTGTGTGTGTTTGTACATGCACGTAGAGTATGTGTGTACAAATGTGAGCGTATGTGTGCGTGCACACCTTTCCAACTCTGTTCACAGACAGCACCCAGAAGCAAGGATGCTCTGAAAGACTGAGTGCACCTCGTGCCTGGAGTTTGACCAGCGCTGTCAGATGATCCATGTGTGGTTAGATGTTGTGGGCAGGGGTGGAAGCAGTTAGACTGACCCTAGGCAAAATATCTTATTTTAGCATTTCCTTTGTCTTTTTTTTTTTTTTTTAACTCAGGGGCTTAACCACTGAGTCACATGCCCAGCCCATTTTATTTTTTAATTTGAGACATGGTCTCACCAAGTTGCTTAGAGCCTCACAAAGTTGCTGAGGCTGGTTTGTGATCCTCCTGCCTCAGGCACCTGAGCCACTGGGATTAGGTATTCAGCACTGTTCCTGGCTTCTTTTATTTCCTTTCCACACAGCTAAAGCAGTATGGCCAACTATTAGCGTTTGTTAATGTGGATGGTGGACATGAGCGTGTTGGGACGCCCTGGAATGTTTCATATGGTCAAAATATTTCATGATTCAGTTTTGAAACTTTGACCATGATTTGTGGGCCATCTCCAAATAGAGCTTTTTATTTTATTCTTTATTCTTCCTAAATGTTTATAATAGCATATATTACTTTTAAGCCAGATAAAAGTGAAAGATACTTTTTTTAAAAAAACGTGAGGAAGAGTAGCGGGGCTGTGACGCTCTAATCACTAGGGGAATTCTGTACACACTGACTGCGGGTGTCACAAGTAGGCAGAACGCAGGTGTTGGAATCTGTGCTGGTCTCAGGTAAACTTCAAAATCAGCACTTCATTTCCCTGTCCAGGCCAGGAGCAGGACACACTGGAGAGGCCTCACCCAAGAGCCACTTCCCAAGGCAGCCTGTCCTGGCCAGGAGGTGGGGAGCAGAAGGCCCAGAGCAAGGCTGAGGCCGCGGGAGTCTCTCAGCACTCAGGCAGGAAGCATGACTACCAAACAGTCTCCAGGAAGTCCCGACTCCAAGCCAGGCACAACCCTCCACCTAGGCCCCAGGCCTACTGCATGGCACAGATGCTTTTTGGAGAGCCGCAGCCTACCCAGTGCCAGGCGGGACCGCTCCTCAGCTCCACACACCCTTTCCATGTCACCACCAGACAGCAGCACTGCAGGCAACACAGCAAAGGTTGAGGGTGGAACGCAGGTGGGGAGGACCAGGAGGGGGTCCCCCCATGGACCTCCTCCCAACCACGAAGGTGGCCGAGCAGTTCCCGGGGACGCACGACTGCAAGCGAGTCTCGGAGAGCTACGCTGGGCCTGGGAGCACGTCAGGATGGCAAGCCTGGACCCCGCACAGTCAACAGTCTGCTCTCCTGCCTGCTGCTCATTCTGCCCTGCGCCCTGATCCTCCAGTCACCCTGCAGCCAGGGGATGCTGCTGGTGTTACGAGCAGGAGGAGTGTAGACGCTGGAATCTGTGCTGGTCTTGGGTAACCTTCAAAATGAGCACGTCAAATCTCACATCCCGTCAGCTAAGCTCAGTTTGTGTGCAAATCAGTGCTCTGTTCATGGATTCAAACATTTCCTGAGTACCAGGCATAAAGACACAAGAATGACAAAACGCCAAAAGAAAGAATGCAAAATGCAAAAAAAGAATGACTCACAACAAGCTCATCTCTAGCAAAATGGAAAAAAAAAAATATGTCACAGATTGTATGTGTCAAATATTAAGTAAAAATTTGTATTTTAATGATAAATTGGTATTTTTAACCCAAAAGACCAACTAGTTGGCAGTGCGTACCATGTTCTCAACGCGGAGTTCGAATGGCATTGGGTTGTACACCATCAGCTGAACCTCACACACGTCTCCTTGAACCCACTGGAAATCTACAGAGCACAAAAGAATCCACGTTAGTCAGCACCTCTGCACCTTCTCACGGTATCAGGTGATTCGTCTGGCAACACACTTGTCCGGCAAAGCAGTGGACCTCACGATCACCTTGAGAGAGCAATTCACAGCTGGCTGTGACACCAGCTCTCTGAAACACAGTCAAGCCTGTCATCACCGCCACTTTAATGCAACGTGTAGGACTTTTCCCGCGGCATTCTGCAGGCCGCACTGGTGCACAGCTGAACTCCATGACCGCCCTGTGCCCCTGAGACTGAGAGGGAAGAGGGTGGTTTCTCCTCCTCTTAACTCCCAGGCCCACGCAGTGCAGAGGCAATGACCCTACCCCAAGGCCCAGCACATGTGCCCTGTGCAGCCCCTCCCTGGAGGACAGGTCCACACTAGGTAATGTCCTGTAACAGCACTGAGGGGTTGTGCAGGTGTAACTCAGATCCCCGTCAGTCACCTCTGAGATGACCGAATGGGAGACTTTCCCAGACAGGCTGATCCAACCAGCTGAGTCCCTAATGGAGATGAGATCCTTCTTGCCAGGGTGTATGTAGGGTGGCCTCTAGAAGTGGACAGCAGTCCCAGTTGACAACCACCTTGAGATAATAAAAGAGGACCAACCTGAGGAACCTGGGAAACAAACCGCTCCCAGTGGAGCCTTCAGAAGGGGACCAGGTGACACCTGGACTCAGCAAGACAGACTCAAACTCCTGACCCATGTAGTGAGAAAAGTGCTGACATTGTTCTGAGCCATAGGTAAGCTTCAGAAATTTGTCACAAAGCTACTGAAAACCAGTAGAGCTCCCATCCCCATCTCCATTGCCCCTCCACCCCTGAGGCTCGGCATCAGGCGGCCAAGGGAGTTCAGGACCAAGGGGCATGCTGGCAAGTGTCAGGTGGGAGGCCACCTCCTTACTCTGTGACCTGCCTCGTGACGTGGTGTCAAGGCCACAGCAGTACAAGGCGGGCACTCACAAGCCAAACGGGTAGCGAGCTCGCCTAGGAAGCCCACTGCTGACAAGGGCAGCCACAGTGATGCGGCCAGGACTGGGAAGTCAAAGCAATATCTAGCCCAGGCACAGGGAGCTCAAGCCAGTGAAGGGTTTTTCTAGAGCAGAGGTAGGGTTCACTGACCAGAATTCACCAACTTTCATGGAGCTTTCACCTCCCATTTTCAAGATACAGCTTTTGACCCACTTTGGACCAGGGACCCTGCACAGAGATTAAGACCAGCCCCCCAAATCTGTGACACCTGGCCAGATCGGGCATCTGCAACTGCATGAACCAATGACAAGGCCACCAGGGAGTTAGCTCACAAACACTGCTGGAGCTGTGCACACACCTGAGCTCTGGACAGCACAGAGAACGACCACACTCTGCTTGGTCAGTGAAGCACATTATCCTCATTCTACAAAACGGAAAACTCCTGACTGCTGAACTGTCTGCCCACCTATGGCTGTGATAAATACAAGGGCTGCAGTCCAAATTCAAGACCTTCTGGCTCTAAACCCAAACACTTTCCCTCACGATACACCCCTCAATGGCTACAGACACTCAGGCCATGTCTCTCCTTCACCACACCTGCCCTGACCCACCTGCACAAGCCTACGACCCCCGGTGAAGCTTCAGTATGGGGTTCACCCTCCCTCCTTGCACACACGACCAACCAGAGCACAGCCCAGCCCCTAATGGAGATGAGTCCCTAATGGAGATGAGATCCTCCTTGCCAGGGTGTATGTAGGGTGGCCTCTAGAAGTGGACAGCAGTCCCAGTTGACAACCACCTTGTCAACTGGGTGACAAGTACCCCAGCCTGCTGGCGTCTGCAGGGAGCTAGCAACCTGCCTGCTCCTCCCTGCAGATGAGAAAGCCACTGCTTTTTTAAATAAGTCACTTTGCCTGTGGCTAAGGGATTGTTTTCTCTGCAGTCAAAAAATAATCATTTTTTAAAATCATGCTCTGAGATACTAGAAGGAATCATTTACATTTATGTGATAAGTTGCTTTTGTCTGAAAGAAGGTGGTCCAACCTCCCATGTGTCAAAGCACAAGCCCCTTCCTCATACTTTGTCACAGATAGATCAGGAGGGCACAGGAAGTAGTAGCTACTAAACACCCTCTGCCAGCCCTCCCTGCTCCATGTTGGCACACCAGGACCAGCAGCACCCGGCAGTTCTACTGTTGACAAGCTCATCTCTGTCCGCCACACTGTGTGGACCTGCTTGGCAGGAAGAGTTCCCAATCATCACGGCATCTGGATACCCCGAACCACACACAGCTGCTCCTGAAGACCCTCTGAGTGGGCGCCAGGACTTCCAGTACTTGTCTCACTGGATCTCGGAACAACTCTCGAGTCAACTCCTAACGTCCCCATTCTGTAGACAGCACAACTGCAGACCAGGAAGCACCACCACAGTCCAAGGTCACACGATGGGAAGCGAGAGCTGGGGGCCAGGCTGCGTCAGGGCCACCTGGCAGCCCCAGCTGACCAGGGACAACATGGCATTTGGGCAGCTGCCAACCTCACCAAAAACCCTGGCATTCCAATCACAAATGACAGGTGACCCTCACCGCAGCACTGCAGAGTGGAATTAGAATGTGGCCACACTGGCCATGTTGCAGATACAAAGACCAATAAATAACCCCTTGGCGGAGTGGGAAATGGCCGCAAGAGTCTCCCTGGAGAAGCTCTCTATTTCTTGCATCTACATGCCCTGCTGTAATGGTAACATCCCCAGTAGCTACACAGACTCGGGTACAGAATTAGGAATTCAGATTAAAGATGGGTGATTCTTCAAGCCTCCAGGCAGGTACTCTCTGGTCAGGCTATTGCCCAAAAGATATTAGAAGCTATAGAATACAAATTAATTTTTCCTATGGATATTCAACAAATAATGTGCATTTTTTGCTGAATAGCAAAAAATGTTTTTCTGATAGCTCAGAAAAACACTCTTATATCAACCATAAATTCATCCTCCAACCAAGTGAGCAGGTGCTTATTGGTCCTATGAGGAGCCACCTCATAGTGGGAAAACTCCCTGGGCATCAAGTCATGGGATGGAGACTGGGCTCTGCCACCTACTGGCTCTCTGGCCCAGGGCAGGTAATTTGCATCCAGTCTAAACCTCCCCACCTGTACACAGGTAGAGAGCAGCACTGGCTGCATCAGCACCAAGCAGCTGTGAGAATCTGAGGGTCCAGTCTGCTCCAGCCTCTTACACAAACACAAGGATTTTCATAATACGAAGCCTCAACAATTCCTAGAATGGAAGAGGAAAAATAAAGGGACTGGGCTGGCCTCAGGGACCTGCAATCCAGCAGTCAGTGGCACCAGGCCCATGTTTGCAGGCCCCGTATGTGCTGTATGCTTGGCTCTTGTTGTATACAAATTCTTAATACTTTCTCAATAAAGGGCCTATGTTTTTGTTCTGCACTGGACCCCATGAACGTACTGCTGCCCTGGGGGATGTCTCACCCCACACAACTCTAAGTCACCTCCCGAGTTTTCCTCTGAATGAAAGAAGTGAGGCTCTCCTTAAAAGTTCTTTAGGGGAAAAAGCATACTGAGGACCAAGAAAACAGGCAGAGAGTCCCGGAAGGCCAGAAGAAGAGTCCAACAACTGTATAGGTCCACACAGGAGGGACGAGTCACAGAGCCAGCAAGACGCCCCACTACGGCAGGGCTCCACTCCTCTGCCTCCAAGGAGGTGGCGGAAGTAGCTCCCAGAGGCCGTGCAGGGACACCCCACCTCTTTCCTCTCCCTGGGATGCATACTGGACGGGGTCTGAGGCATACCACCTGCCCAGGATGCTGCCCATTGGGCTCTTCAGCTTCCGGTTACCTGCGCATGTTTTTTGGAGCAGAGAAGCAGAGGTAGGGGTTGAGAGGCTGGCACAGTCTTTCAAAATCAAAGACTCAAGATGGAATTTCCAGGGCTGGGGTTGTGGCTCAGTGGTAGAGCACCTGCCTCATATGTGTGAGGCCCTGGGTTCAATACTCAGCACCACATATAAACAAATGAATAAAATAAAGATCCATCAACAGCAAAAATAAAAAATTTTAAAAAAAAAGATGGAATTTCCAGAATGCGTGTGCACACACACACATGGCACACACACATGGCACGCACATGGCGCACACACATGGTACACACATGACACACACCAAGGGAAAGCTGCCAACAAGTGGGGTCATGTCTTCAGAAACCCTCCCATGCTGGCACCGGCTGCGTTCTTCAAGGCATTGCCCCTCGACTCTCCCTTCACTTTCCTCTGGCTTCAACAGGGAACGCAGGCATGGGCTGAGCCAGGGCACTCCTCTTCACGGTGGCCCAGCGTCTGCAGGGATCCTGCTCCCAGGGAATGGCACTCGCTGCTCGCCTGAGTTCAGCAATAGGTAACCAGGTGCTGGCAGAGGGCTGCCAGGGCCACAGCTCTCAAGAACCTCCATCCACACTGCCTCACCCTTCAGCACCCTGTCCTGTGTCCCGCCTGCACGAACTGAATGGGAGGAGCTGTCCAGGGCAGGGACTTTGTGACACAGCTTCTCATCTCACATCCCCACAAGCTCTTCCTAAGTCCAAAGTGCCTCTGTGCCCTCACCTACCAACCATCACAGCCTAGCCGCACCAGCACCCACCTTGGCCTCCAGCAGGACAAAATCACCCAACACATAGCCTGCTCCATAAAAAAGTGGACTAGCTCATATAATTCACGAAGTACTGCCGTGGTTTGGACACGGGTGGCAGGGGTCCAAGGGTTCGTGGGTAAAACTTGACCTCCACTATGAAGTATTAAGGGAATGGAAACTGAATCCAGTGCTGGCGTTTCAAGGCTGGGCCTTCAGGAGGTGACTAGGCTCAGATAAGGTCAGGAGGGTGGTCCCATGGTTGCATCCTAGTCACTTTGTCAGAGAGACAGAGTCCAGAAGAGATGCACATCATGTGCTCACTGACTCTCTGTGATGACCTGGGTCTTTCTGGTTTCTAGAACTTCCACAAAATCACCTTTAATAAAATAGATTTTCAAATATTGGATCTATGAGCACACAGATAAGCCAGCCTTAAAGTGGGCACAGACGTGACCAGGCCCACATGCATGGATGCACACACATGTGTACACAGAGAAGCCCACCCTAAAATGTACATACACATGCACACATGCACACACAGGTGAGCCAGTCTGAAATTCTGCCCTAAAATTCCAGAAATCCACTAAAAACCAAGAGCCGGGCACAGTGAGAAGGTGGGAACAAAAGATCCTACCTATCTTCTTGCTCCGTTCCTCTCCACGGTTGTGTGCAATGATTGGTGAATAGATGAAGGGGCTCTTGGTCGACACGCTCTGGCCCAGCAAGCTCTTCATCTTCTGGGGCCGAAGGCTGGTAGGAAGGCTCAGCAGCTTCACACACCTGTCGTTTCAAACACAGCACAAATGCATCATGGCCTCGGTGGCTTGGTTTCAGGACAGACCTTACACAGGACAGACCTTACCACAGGAAAGAAAACCAAGGCCCACTAGTGGAAGGGAGGGCACTCATGCCAGCAGGACAGGCAGCTGGACTCTGCTCAGGGCTGCCCCACTGTGCCTGGGCTTAAGCACAGTTCACAATGAGAAGGGCCAGGCTGCAGCCCCCACCCCTGCTCTCCAGCTGCACACCTCTGGACACGGCCTTGCCTTCTCCAAAGTGGGTTCCTGTCTATAGGATGCAGATGGGGCCAGCACCTCACACGTGGAACTAGGGTGAGGACTGGAAAGCTCTCTTCTCTCACGTCTCCCTCTCCTGACAGCCAGCCCAGAACAAGTAGGAGAGAGCCTGGTCTGCAGACTAAAAGCACCCCTGCTTTGTCCACATGAGGGACTGCTCATGCCTGCAGAGGTAAGTGTCCCACCCCAAGAGCCCAGCATCTACTGAGGTCTTACCAGTAGTGTGCACATTCACAGGCACTATCATAGGAACAATCTCAATTAAACATCACAACCATTTTTGTGGCTTCAGTACTGACTCTGTCTCCACATTACCAACTGGGAAACTGACCAAGGGAGGTGACCTCCGCTGCTCAAGACACCACGCCTGGAATTGATGAGGACGAGAGACACTGCATATAAACCTCCTTTATGAACAGTAAGGCAAGATGGTAGTTAAGATCTGGAACATTCCTAGGCCTGAGAATGAAAGGACAAGGGGTAGACATGGGGGCACTGGGAGGTCTGGTGAGGACACTTACTGACTGAGGTGGCGGCATGCCCTCCCCACCCCGCCTCCCCACCTCTCTGCAGGAAGGTGAAGCCACCTGTGCAGCCCGGGCTGTGGGCTGAGCAGAAGCCACACCCGGATGCAGCATTCTGAAGCCATGCGCCAGCCCCAGCGCTCTCCTGCCACGTGGCAGTCCTGGAGGCCAAGTGTTAAGACGATGGAGACCAAGGCAGCACGGCCTAGGTCACTGAGCAACCCACGAGGTCAAATGCCTAGACGACAGCGTGACTCACACCAGCCTGTGTGAGTGGACAGTTTTGTGCAGTCAGTCAGTGAGGCGTTGGAGTCAGCTTTCCTGCCTCAGCAGAGCCTGACCTCTGGCTAATAGACACCACCTTACAGGGTCCAGAGATAACCCCCTCTCTCAGCTGGAAGGCCTCAGACACCTAAAGCAACTGAGCTACACCCCCAGCTCTTCTTATTTTTTATTTTGAAACAGGGACTCATTAAGTTACCCAGGCTGGTCTCAAACTCACAATCCTCCTGCCTCAGCCCCCAGAGTTGCTGGGATGATAGGCATGTACCACCCTAATCAGCTCTTAGCCTCTTTTGAATAAATGCCTAGACTGCTTCCCCAGATGGTAAAATTAACCTAAAAAGTTTAAGTTTAAATGCACCCAAGCAACTCAAAACTCACTCTGGCTGCTTGGCTGGATCTTTATTAATTTAAATGCCTTCATTAACTCCAGAGCTCTTTTCCAGGTTGTGGGAAATCAATGTTCATGAAAAAAACAATTGATGAGTCCCCAGTCCCCCTCATTTCCATTCCTCAATTAAAGACTCATTGGTTAACTGAAAATGAAACCTAAACTCAATTCCAATTTCTTCTTTAATAATCCACAACATAAGAGGAAAAAAAAACTATGAGAGGGCAAATGAACTTTTCCATAAAAAGAAGCAATAAACATATTAAACAGTCTCCAAAAAAATCCACAACAAAATACTCTGGAACACAAAAAATGTTCCTCTTGACTCTCGTATACACACTTCCTCTCTTTGTGGAGACTCCTATAAGGAATAAACTAAGACCACTTGGGACCTTAACTGTCTGCCAGCTGCTGTAACTGGCAATAGACCTGGCAGCCTCTTGGTAGCTGAGGTCACACTTGACCACTGCTGAGCCCACAACAGTCAGCTGAGGCCAGGTCCACTTTGAGTTCTCAAGGCACATTTGATGAAGTGAATTTGGGAATAGAATTAAATAGTGCTGTATTTTGGCTTATTTTCCTTATTAATCTGCATCATAATTACACAAAAACACTTTGGGGTGAGCCTAGTTCATGTTTCCAGGCCTTGGAGGGCAGGTGAGCTCTTCCTATAACTTGCTAAGATGGTTTTATTGTCAAAAACTAAGGAAGACCTCAACAGAAAAGAAAATGGCTCCAAATATCTATTGTTAAAAAAAAAAAAAAAAAAAAAAACAAAAAAAGAAAAATCACAGTTTGGGACATCTCCGACAGTAAATTAGCTTGTATCTAACAATTTTAGACATTTTTAACCAATTTATTCTGTAATGCAAGCAGGAGCTATAGCCCTCAAACACTCTCCCTGCATCTATAGGAGGAACTTGCGATGCCTGTCTTGAATTTTTCAAATTAAACTGGCAAAGCCCACCTTCCTGGACACTGGACTTGGAGACACTGGTTTAATACATTCCAACCATCCCAGACCTGTTTCTAAGGGAAGACCTCGCCCCACCCACAGCTTCCGCCAGGCCTCTCTATGGTGGAGTTAGACAACCCCACCTGCAGCCCCAGTCCTTAACAGTCCCCACGGCTTACGGGAGGCCTGCTGGGCACCAGCACTGAGAGGCACCCCGTCAGTGACCTGCCCTCTTCTGACGCCTCAGAGTAAGGCTCCGAACTCTGCTGCCCAACTCCTGCCAAAGGCTCACCCATGGGTAGCACATTCCTGGAGGAAGGCCTGCTGCAGCCCATGCGCCCGCTGCTCTGCATGTTCCACCATGTGGCTGAGCAAGCCAGATGCCTGAGGACCACGTCCCTCATCCTCTGGGCGAACTGCACATCCTCAGTGTGAAGGGTCCACGTCTGCTCACGAGGGACAGAGGACCTCATAACCAACCAGTTTTCCTTCTTGCTGGTAATATCGAATCACACCTTTTCCCATTTCTGGCCATCGCTTTCTGGTTTTAGATAATATGAACTTCCAAAAATAAGTAAAGCTACCTTTCAGCATTCCTGGGAGACCTCTGAACCTCATCCAGTTAATTTAATCTAAATGTACAAAGATGGAATAACTCAGAGGGAAGAGTGGAGAGACCTCTAAAGCAAGGCAAAGCTCCCCAGGCTCCCACAGGAAACCACGCCCGTGGAGAGGAGAGCTCTGCGGCTCAGGAGCACCTTGAAAGCATTCAGCGCTCGCCTGTGGGAGGAAGGGAAGGAGGGACCCTCAGTCCCAGTTAGGGCAGAGGAAACGGGGCTCCGAGAAGGGCACAGGATTACTGCGCACGCAGGACCTAGACGCGGACTGTGAAATGAACGGCGCATCTCTCCTGTTACAGAAAGGGATGTGCTGATGTCAGGCACAAAGGGACGCCCGACACCACGAGGCTGCCGCACTCTCCCTGAACCTTCAGCACGCAGCGCCCCTCCCAAGTCACCACAGGGAAACAGAAAAGGACACGCAGGGTCCAGCCTGTTCACAGAAGAGCCACAGCACCCCTGTGGAGGAAAAGGACCCTGCTTTGGCAAGGAAAAGAGAAGTGTGAGGCTGAGGGACCATGGGACAAGAACATCACACTCATTCCAATTCTTTCTATTTCCAAATGGCAAAGACTCAGGAGGACAGCCCAAAAATAAACCTGGAACACCCAGGAACGTGGGCATTCTCTCCGGTGAAAAATGCATCTGGGATAAAACAGACCTATCTGCAGGAACATGTGGCCAGCCCTCTGGGTCAGAAGAGCCAGGTCCAGGGAGGACGAGGGCAGCCGGTAGCCAGGCTCACTCCCAGCTCCCAGAGACTTCTGTCAGGGTTCCCCAGGGAGGCAGCTGCCACTCAGCACCATGTCTCTGTGGCTCCAGGTCACCATGCGGAGGCCAAGCCTGCACTTCCTGTCCAGGGCAGCACGGTGGGGAGGGGACTTGGGCACCGCCCACTCAGCCCTCACTGCTCTGCTCCCCTCCTCCTGGGCCCCAGTTCTTGGGCTTTACTTTAGGATACCACAGGTACTCTCCCGGCAGTCCGAGTCCCAATGAGAGGCAATGGGAAACAAGGGGACCCAGACTCCTTCATGGATGTCCCCAAAGGCTACCTCTCTCTTTTCTTGGACACTATAGGAAGAGGATGCAAGGTCTAGAACTGCTGCTGCCACTCTGATGCCTCCTGGGGCTGAAAACGAATGCCCCACACAGGGCAGGGGCTCAGCCAAGGGAGGGAACCCAAGTCCCCGGGGGGCGTGAGTACTGGCTTCTGCCTGCCTCATTCCCCTGGGCTTTTCGGGTACACATGCCCTAAATCCTCTCTGCCTACAGGGTCTAAGCCAGGTTTTCTACTGATTGCTACAAAAGAACTTGAATGGATACTTCTGCCTGCTCAGTGGCCATGCTCCATGGCATGGCCGGAGCCAGAGAAGACAAAGAGCTCTTCCCAGTGCTCTTGAAAGAAAGATGGGGCACCAACAGAGACAGGTGATGAAGTTCCCTGAGTGCTGGCCAGAAGACACAGCAGGTACTGGGGAAGAGACGCCTGCTGGCTCAGCAAGTGCTATCCTGTCCCCCCTCCTCGGCCACCTGTGCTGCACAGTGAGAAGACCCGCATGCAGACTTTGTCACCTTCTAGAGACATACTGCTACTCAGTGAGACTGGGGCAGGAACCCACTAACAAAAGAGAGACATCCCTGAACCTGCCGCCCCCCCTTCCTCCTGCCCTGGACGCACATGTGCTATCTAGAGCAGCTGAAGTCATCTGGTAATCAGGAGGTGAAGGCAGAGTCATGGAGAGGCCACTTGTTCCCAGGTTCCTTCCTCATAAATAAGAAAAATAACCTCCTCTTGGACTCCGAGCCATGACTGCGTTTAAAACTCTTCTCAGCTGAAGCAACACCTAACTTATACAGAAGGCACAGTCATTGCTACCTGAGCACCATCAGAAAAACCTCACAGAAGACGTAATGCTTGAGCTTAATCTCAAAAGACAAAGCACCACCAGGCAGAGTGAGAGAAGAAGCCATGCTCCGGGCCCATCACACACCTGACCTTTTCTACGGATCTCTACAAGGGAGCAGGGAATGGTCGGACCAAGTGAACAAGGGGCTCACGATCAAGGCCAGAGGCAGGGTGACCCCAGAGGCCCCCAAAGGCACTGAAACCAGGAGAAGGCAGTGCGCAGGCTGCAGCTGCAGCTTTCCTGACTTCCCAGCGCTCCCTCCCACAACAGGGCAGCCGTGCTCCCTGGGCAGAAGGTCTGTGCCCTGCGCTGCTGCACCACGGCTCAAACACTGGCTCTCCCTGGTCCTTCATGGGTCCTGGCACAGATGACGCTACATGAACCTGTCACCAGGACAACCAAACTGACTTACCCAGCTAAAGTTCTCTGAAAATCGTAAAGACAGGCTTACACTGACAGTGGGTAGCATACTGAGAAAGCAGTCTATGGCCACTTCAGGTGGCAAAATGGCACAAGAAGGCCGGCAGACCCAGCTGCTGGCAGGAGAGCTCTCCACCAGGGCTGGAAGACCCTGGTAGCCAAGGAAGGGGACTAGAGCAGACTCACCCACTGGCATTTGCCTAAATATAACTACTACTCTTCTGCCTGGTTTTTAAACAGCTCAGGGAGGAAATGTTAACATGACAGTATTTTTAGACAAGGTAGTGTTTGAAATGTGGGTATAGCAGTGTCCCCAGGAGAAACAAAGGTCCACTGGGTCTTTGTGTGCACATATAACATGCTCCACGCTGCATGAACGTCACTCAAATGGAACAAAGCCTAGCGGCCCTGCAAGAGACCTTCAGGCCCACTCTACAGATGAGGGAGATGAGGCTGCTGGGGAACACACCCCAACTGTGCAGCTGCCTTGGTGCCCAGCCCTGTGTCCTCTGGGCCTCTACAGGACAAGCTCCTCTCTTGCCTGGTTCCAAACCCTACCAGGACCAATCTTCCCCAGTTTCACTGACAAAGAGGCCTGGGTGCTAGGACACTGAGATCAGCATCAGAAGCCCAGAATGTTCTAGGAAGTTCAGAATGTCCTATTATGCAAGGCTTTATGAATTGAAAAAAGATCTAAGTCATAATGCAGATAAAAAATTATTAAGAAAGGCTTTTCTAGCCTTTTATTTTTTTAAAATGAATCATGACCTTAATCCCAAATCAAACACATACCACTTTAAGTCTTGCTCATAGGAAAGCCCAAAAGGGACCCTCTCCTTTCCTGTCCACATCAAGGAGGAGGAAGCAGCATGGTCACAGAGTGGGGCTCCCTGCCTGGGGCTGCACACGTGGCACTATGAGGCCCTCTGACATGGAGATGGCATCCAGAGTACAGTGTCACCACAGCCCAGCCTGACTGATTTTAGTTCTCAATGGGGGAGGAGGGGGATATTCAAACTGAAACCCAGAGAGACCAGGGGCTTTGGTCACTAGGCAGGAGGCCTGTGAGTCAGCTCAGCCCCCCCGCCCCACTGCAGGGCAAAGCCAAGGGGACACAGGGAAGAGCAGCAAGCAGCACTTCCAAGGGGCTCAGTGCCTTCCTCCTGAGGAGCCCTGTGCCATGGCACTTACACTCCTCTGTTTCCAAAATCTCACAGCCCACAGAGAGACAATGGCACAGGAAGTGGACCCCAGAAAGGGGACCCCAGGACAGCACACAGTGACAGTGAGCAGTGGTGGACTTCAAATCACAGCAGCAGCAGGACAGGGCCCCAAAACCTGGAGAATAGAGCCTAAAGTTGGCAAAGGCACCAGGGCAGGAGAAGGCCACCCACTGTTGTCAGCAGGACGCAGGCCAAGAACAGAGATGCCGGGAAGCAGGAGAGGCACACAACAGGCCGGTTTCCATCACAGTCCAGTGGTCACAGTGCAGCCAGGGACACAAGAGACCTGTGTGCAGGCAGCTCAGCCATCTGACAGGCAGGGGGCCACAGCAATCACATGATGCCACTGGATTTTCTCATGTAAGACACCCACTCTCCCAAGACTGCCAGCACCAATCACCAGGTGATAAACTAGATCTGCAGCCAGCAAACACGGAGATCCCCTCACGATCTCCACGCACAACCAGACCAGGGAAGGATCGGGCACAAGGCACGCCCTGCTGCCTGGGCCCAGGGCCGGCTCACCTGACGATGGGCAGCTTGGTGAAGGGCACCGGGGGCAAGGTGAGGCCATCGGGGAGAGTGATGGGCTCCATGGTGCCAGGGCACTTGGATGTGTAGCTCTCCAGGCTTTGAGTCACGTCTTTTTTCTCTGAAGATGAAATATAAACAAGATAAAGGTTCATTAGACAAAAGCAAAACTGGGGGCTTTCATTTCTTTTATTTGTTGCAATACACACCAGTCCAAGGAGTCCAATCTTCCAGCAGAAATAAGGGATGGTGACCACCAGAGACGAGCACTAAGCAGACCCTTCATCTGACCTACATACATCATCCTGGGCAGCTGCTCCCTGCAGGACTCATGCTGCTGTCCAGGAGAACAAGTCCTTACCAAACTCCAGGAAAGTCAGGCAGGCCCGCAGAGTCAGCACATCTCAGCAATTATCAGGTAACAAGGACAATGCCAGGACCCATCCCCAGAGAGTCCACAGTCTATTTAGAAGACAGACTCTTAGGCAAATAATCACAGATTGACATTTTTATGCCAACAGAGCAATTGTAGTTAAGACTGTTCTTCTGCCTCAGCCCATACTTTTCTCTAGGAGAGAAGAAGAGCAAGTATGAACAGTGACAACAATATCTGCTCACTGTCCAGGCATACTCTGGACACATGCTCAGACTCTGCAACATCTCCAGCACTGTGAGGCTGAGAGCCCTCCACATGATGACTTGGGACAGCAGCCAAGCAAAGGGTATAGCTTGTCTGAGATCATGAACTTGGCCCTAAGTCTGTGCTCTTCTCACTGCAATATCATAAAGAATTAAGAAAAGGTCAAGTATAGTGGTGCATTCCTATAGACCCAGTGACTCAGGAGGCTGAGGCAGGAGGATCACAAGTTGGAGGCCAGCTGGGCAACTTAGCAAGACCCTGTCTCAAAATAGTAAATAAAAAGGGCTGGGGGTGTGAGTTAGTGGTAGAGCACCTCTGAGTTCAATCCCTGGTACAACAAAAACAATAAAAATTAAGAAAATAAAGACTGGACGATGGGTTTGGATATGGGGGTTCATGCCCGCTGCCATTGTGGAAGAGAAGGACGGGGACTAGAAGAGAATGGAGGCAGAGGGCACCATCGGAACAGTGACGTGGGGCCCAGGTTTGAGTGAGTGACAGCCTTCCCTGCCCTGTCCACTGGAGGGGAAGCACTGAGCCTTTCTGAGACTCGGTCCCCTGCAGAAAGAGCAGTGCCCTTAGAAGGAAGCACCCAGGGCCAACTGAGAGACTGCACCCAGGAACAGTGAGCTGCAGACAAGAGCACTGGATCAGCTGAAATGGTGACCGCTGTTGTCTGCGTCACTAGCATCCGGCTGCATGTAGGGACAGGCTAGCCAGCAGGCAAAGAGGCAGAAGGCTGTGCGGTAAGCCCAAGGGCTCCACCAGGGCTGGGAGCCACAGTGAGGGTTAAGGTGGGAACTCCCAGACCTCAGCACAGACGGACAGGAAAGCCTCTGCCGCAGAGATTTTCTGTCCAGGTGGTTTTCTCCAGGAAGCAGGAGGCGGGAAAGGAAGCAGAATTACTTTTGAATACAACGCAGTAGTGCTCATCCACACATGAAAGAAATTCTTCAAATAATCAAATCATTTTCGATTTATAGATGATATATGGCCCCAAAGGCTCCCGCTGATGCTTTGCAAATCATCTAATGTGCCTAATGGTGGGCAGAGCACTTGTGGTTCCGGTATCTTTATCAGGCTGCATTATCCAGCTCCACGCACATGCTGAGGGACGCTGCCAAAATGCAGAAGGAAGTAAATGGACAGAGGAAGCCCAGTGCTACCCAGGAAGTCAGCCCTGCACAGGGCCTGAGAAGGGACAGGGACCTGGCTAGAGGGGAGCAGGCAGCAAGGGTGAGGCTCAGCATGCGGCCTAGCCAGCAGGGAACTTGGTGCTTCTGCTCACTTGTGTCTTCCTCCAACGGAGGCCCCTGGGTGGGCTCAAGAGTCTAACCTTCCCCATGGGTGCAGCAGGGCACACGGATCCAGCCGCCTGGTGGTGCCCTGCCAAGCACATTTTGTTTCACCCACTGCTGTGCTCAGAGTGCATCGTCCAAATTCACATATTAGGAACCGCATCCCCGTGGAACAGTGTCTGGGTGGGGTCTCGAGGAAGCATTTAAGTCCTGTGGACTTCACCCTTGGAAACAGACCCGTGCCATTTGAAAGGGTTTGCTGGGGAGGAGTTTGACCCTTCTGTCTTCTACCACCTGAGAACAGAGTATTCGAGGAACCAGCAGATGCCAGTGCCTTGATCTTGAACTTCCAGACTCCAGAACTGTGAGAAAAACATGCTTTATAAAATACTCGGTCTACAGTGCTCATTACAGCAACATGACCAGATACTAGCCATCTGCTGGGGTAGAGAAGGGAGAAGCCCCTGCCTCGAGAACAGAGGAGGTCAGGGTCAGGGCCAACTCTCACAACAATCTTCAGTGAAGTGTCCACTCTTCCTGGCTGTCACTGCTCTTCCATTCAGAGGCCGATCCAATCCCCAGAAGCCAGGACTGCCTTTCGAGGCCTCCTCAGGACAGAGGGGTGCTTCTTGGCTTCCTTTTCCATACGACTCTGGGTCTCTGTGGTCATTTCTGTGAGGTTTCCAGATTGAGGTGCTGGTGTGTGACCACCAGCATGGCCTGTTCACCTTCAAGTCCCACTGGCCTTTCTCCTGTTGCAAGCATCAGCTAAATGTCGTTGCCCAGATCAACTTCTTCACTGGGGAAACCCGAAGGTGGCTCTCCATTTTTCTCATTTCTCTGTACTTATTACTCAGGATTTGTCTTGAAAAAAGAAGGTTCCTTCATCAACCATTTGTTTATCCTAAAACACAGACGATACCAGCAGGAGGCCAGCAAGTGGTGGAGGCCTTGCCGTGGTTCCGGGTGGAGAACAGTGCCTGTGCAGCCAGGGATGGCCAGTGAGTTGTGCCTTGCTCAGTCCCACCACCAATAGTTAGTTGCTGGCACATTTGTTTTTTATATAAATATATATATTTTTTTAGTTGTCAATGGACCGCTTTACTTTTTTTATAGTTGTAATTGTTGTGTAATTGTGCTGTATAGTTGTAATTTATTGTTGTAATTTCTTATTTACTTGTAGTTGTAATTGGACACAATACCTTTATTTATTTATTTATTTTTATGTGGTCTTAAGGATTGAACCCAGGGCCTCGCACGCACTAGGTGAGCACTCTACTGCTGAGCCCAGTCCTAGCGCCACAGTTTTATTGGTCGTTGTAGTTGCACATGCACGGGGCTTGTGGCTATATATGTGTGCAGTACATACTGTAACAATGTAGATTTGGCTATTAGCACCCCCAGCACCTCCCCGGCCTCCTGCCTTCAGTCCCTCGAGCACTTCCCTCCACTGATCTCCCTCTGGTTTTCCTGAGACCCCCCACCTTCCCACCTTTCCTTTCTGTTTGCCTCTTTAGCTTCCACTTACTTGTAAGAGAAAACACAGCCTTTGAGCTCCTGAGTTTGCCTCATTTCACTTAACATAACTGTCTGAATAAAACTCCATTGTGTAATATGTGTACCACATTTTCTCTACCCATTCATCCATTAATGGACACGTGGGCTGGTTCCACACGCTGGCTCTTGGGTGACTGTGCTGTTACAAACATGGGCTTGCGTGTACCACTGTAGTAAGATGACTTCAGTTCTTCAGGGTAGATACCGAGGAGTGGGACAGCTGGGTCGTTCCACTCCTAGTCTTTTGAGCAGCCTCCATACTGATTTCCACAGTGGTTGTACTAATTTACAGTCCCACCAACAGTGTAAAAGTGTTCCTTTTCCTCCACATCCTCTCCAGCCATTCTGACTGGTGTGTGAGATAAAATCTCGGTGTAATTGTGATTGGCATTTCCCTGATTGCTAATGATGTTGAACATTTTTTCATATATTTGTTGGCCAATTGTGTTTATTCTTCTAAGAAACATCTGTTTAATTTATTTTCCCATTTATTAATTGTGTCACATTCTTTTTGATGTTCTAAGTGTCCCTCTTTGGCCAGTGGGAGTCTGTTCAGGTTGGCTCCCGGGTCCTATGGTTAAGGCCCCAGTGCTCTCTGACATCTCTCCTTCATTCCAGCCACAGACCCAGGATCCAACCACTTGTCCAAGAAGCCCTGATTCCCTCCCATGGAAAGCAGTGTTCAGAGAACAGAACCCAGAAGCCAGGTGCAAGTTACTGGATTCCCACTGTGTCTCTAGGCCTTCAAGTGCTGACAGGAGAAGTGATTTTTACTTTAAATTTTTTTAAATTTTGAGGACTAACCATGAAGCATTTTGTATTGCCAGCACCTTCAAGGGAAGAGTGTCTTGTCATTACTCATATTCTCTGGGCCAAATACTCACTTCTGTGTGCCAAATACTATACAAAGTTATTCTGCAAGGTATCCTGGTATAAAAGAGGACCTCAATATTTTCTGATTCAAAATTGATACATAATACCTTCCCACAAAATTCCTGCCAGGGGAGGGGAAAGGCATTATTATTACCTTGAAAGATAATAAAAATTAACCAGGGGGAACTCTTTGAAATTTGATTATAGAATGGCATTGAACACTACCAAAAAATTTGTAATTTTAAACATAATATTAACATCGTGATTCTATAAGAAAATGTTCATTTTTCAGAAATGCATACTAAAGTAAGAAGATATGAAATAACATTCTTTAAAATAATCCAGCAAGTTAAAAAAAAAAAACGTGAAGTAAATATATGCAATGCTCAAGGACCACTGAACCTGGGTAGCTGGTACATAGGAAATTTTTTCATTATTCTTTACACCATTTTATTTCACACTGCTTCCTGGAAATATTGTTTTAGGGGCCTGAGGAAATGAGATGATCTTCTCAAGGGCACAAAGAGGAAGAGAGTTGAGGGGGTCTTCCTTCCCAACAAATGAGGCCTGACCACGGGTACCACTGTCACCAGTGCACCAGTAAAAGAGCACCAAGTCCTGGGGCTGCTAACATCTGTCCACACTCTCAGCTGGAGTGAAACTTTGATAAACCTTAACATTCTCAAAGCACAGGATTTAGTCAGTGGGAGGCAATGGTTCCTTAATTTATTTCACTAAAAATCAATAAACCTC